CCCTGCCCCGCCGGTTCCTGAGCTCCCACGACGCTGCCGAGAAACAGCACAGGAGTCAGTCTGTATCCGGCAGACTTCAGAGACGGGCAGCTTTTGCCTCCTCTGCACTCAAGTTAATTATCACCCACAAGAACTTCTAAACATGGCTACCAAAGCGTGGACCAAATACAGCAAAAGCTCTCTGCTGAGGAGAACCTGTAGTCCTTCTAAAGAAAAGTGTTCCACTCAGCTCTTCTCAAAACCCCTGAACGCATTTTAGCTGGAAAACATAAAAACACAAGAGAAGCGACACTTCCTTTCTCAGTTGCCTGCGCATACAGAGACTGCACCGGGGCAACGGCGACGACGCTGGTTTCAAACTCCTGCAAGCTCTGCAGAACCAGCTCAGCCACGGCAGAGCACGCCGAACCGAAATCATCTTCTGCGCAAAGTCAGATCCTATCGGAGGACCTGTGGCAGCGTGAGGCACGGGGAACCCGGCGTGATTACTATACCCCCGCCAAGGCAGCTCACGCCCCAACGTGGGCGCTTCTCGTCCGAGAAACACGGGTGCCCAGGGGCCATTTTCACCTGATAAAAGGATTTAATTCCTCTACTCCATAACAAGCAAAAAGCTTAATAGCCAAGCCCCAACGATATACTCTCTGTATCCAACCAAGAGCACGAGTGCTCCCTTCCTTCTCTGTCCCATGAACCCGAAGATGAAAGGACACCTACGCCAGCCCAACGCGCACCTTCTGCTCTCAGAGCCCCCGCCCAAAGCCACCGGGGAGGGACCATCCCCCAGGAGCAGCCAGGAGGGAGCACTGGTAACGCCCAGGCTAGAAACAGGAGAGTTATTTCATCAAGCAGTGGCTGGCTAGGAAAAAGCCCCAGCCCAGGACAGCAGCACACTCCCCTTGCCCCCTGTGAGGGCAGGACAGGCCACCTCCTCCTCCTCCCTCGCCCCAGGGAGGAGATCGGGGACCCAAGGAGGGGCGAGGGGACAGGACCACACCTGGGGTTGGGGACCTCGTAGAGAGCCGAGCCCTCCCCAGCGACACAAAGGCAGAGCTGCTGCTCTAAGTGGTCTTGTCCCAGACCCCCCCGTCCCTCCCCACAGCTTTCCCATCGGGATCATGTCCCAGCCCTTCATCTTCCTCACACCTCCCCAGCCCCCCAGGGACCCCTCGGGCCCC